TAAATCATTTTCATTGTATTTCCATACTAAACCATTTGCATTGTGTCATGGGTCCTTACCTATAACTACAAAATGAACACTTCCTAACACTATGTATACTATGCCTCTCAAGAGGGAGGGTCGAATCAAGCCGAGCTTCTCGACTTGACAGTCGAACTTTCTGCTTCTGAGCAGAAAGGAACCCGGACGAGGCTCCGCCGAAGGACAGAGTCTCATTCGGGGAGAAATGACCAACCCGATCTCGTTTATACGGGTTATACGGGCATTTTTTGGCTGAGCCTACGGGCTCGGGAAACCCACGTAAAAACTCGGCCTTGTGCCAGATGCAACCCTCGTGGGGGTGGGGTGGCTAGATGCCGAATCAAGCCGAGCTTTTCGACGGTCGAACTTTCTGCCTCTGAGCAGAAAGGAACCCGGACGAGGTTCCGCCGAAGGGCAGAGTCTCGTTCGGGGAGAAATGACCAACCCGATCTCGTTTATACGGGTTCTACGGGTATTTTTTGGCCGAGCCTACGGGCTCGGGAAACCCACGTTAAACTCGGCCTTGTGCCACTTGCAACCCTCGTGGAGGGATGGCTACATACCGAATCGAATGGAGCCAATAGTAGTTCACTCCAAACCAGACTGACAGTCATACTAACACCTTCCACATCTTGTATTATTATTTCGTGTAATATACCTTCATTATTTTTACTCTTGTGTTCGTGTTGTTCTTCCTTGGTCCTAACCTGGACCATAACACATTGTATTTCTGGATTAAAATATTTACAATTTATTTCAATATTAATTATTTGCACTGTATATCTATATTAAACCATTTGTATTATATTCTACATTAAATAACTTACAATTTATTTCTATATTAAATCATTTGCAATGTACTTCTATATTAAATCAGTTGCATTTTTTTTTAATATTATATCTTTTGCCTTATATTTCTATATTAAATAATTTGCAATGTATTTCTATATTAAAACATTTGCATTGTATTCCTGCATTAAATAATTTACAATTAATTTTAATATTAAACGATTTGCCTTGTATTTCTATATTAAATAATTTGTAATTAATTCTATATAAAAAAATCATTTGCCTTGTATTTCTGTATTAAATTATTTGCATTAACATTGTATTTCTGTATTAAATAATTTCCAATTTATTTCTACATTAAACCATTTGAAATATATTTCTATATTAAGCCATTTACATTGTATTTCTATATTAAACTATTTGCCTTGTATTTTTATAATAAATAATTTCAGTTTATTTCTATACTCAATCATTTGCAATGTATGTCTATATTAAATCAAATGCATAGTAATTCTATATTAAATCAGTTTCATTGTATTCTATAGTAAATAAGACTGAGAAACAGTCATTATTGCTGAGTAAATATTAGAAGTATATCTTAAGAATGTCAAGGTCACTACTCTGGAATGGCCGAGTAACACGACGTAGATGCAGAAGCTCCAGTCATCCAGCGTCTAACAGAGCCTTAGCCTTGGCCGAGTGCTTTCCTTGCAATCTATATGTAATACGACAAATTTGCAATAGGATTGTGGTCGAAGCTGTTTTCAGGCCATTCCCACGTAGTAACCTCGACATTCTTACGATATTCTTCTGATATTTTTTAGTACTGTCTCATTGCTGACGTAGGCGATCATGACCCTCCACATCTTCCTCTTGTAGCTCTTAATAAATCTTGTCTTTTTGCTATTTCCCCCAAAGCCTGTTCTACCATTCATTTACTCAAGCCCATCAATTATGTTATCCTGCCCCTTTTCCCCTCAATCTGTCCTATGCGTATCAGATTTTCCAAGTCCTCCTTTCTCGTTACGTGCACAAGAAAAAAGAAACTTATACTTAACATCAGGAAGAGGCAGTTGGTAAGTTTCCTTTTTGTTTCCGATTTCTCTAAAACCTCTATTCGGTCCATCATATCCTCAGCATCTTTCTGTAGAACCACATTTCTTTTGCTTCAAGTTTCTTCTTCATCTTTGAAGAGATTGTCTAGCATTCACTTCCATATAAGAGGACAGATATCGCGTAGCAGTTCGGTATCCTTTTTCTTTGTTTCTCCTGATGTTTTTCTGTCTCTTAATACTTTGCTTAGCTTTTGGAATACATCTTTCTATTATATCTCGTCATATTGAAACGATTATCAAAGTGATAGGTGGCCATAGAACATACTAGTTTGTAATGAGATTAATAGAAATTGTTTTTAATACATTTGATCCATTGAACTGAGTATTTATTTTTGTGTTATTGAGATTTGGGGGTGATCATAAAATTTGGGTAACCTTAAACATTTAACTACAACTATACGATGTATAAAGTGGATATGATGAGAAAAATTGGAAAAGCTTTTGAACGGCCCGATTCGTCGACGTGATGTGTCGGATTCTTTTTTATGTCTGGTAACCATTACACTATAGTGAGTGCGAAATAATAAGTCCCTTTACCCACTCCCTTCAAATTCGGAGGACTGAGGGAAAGGAAATCGCAGACCTATGCGAAATTACTTTGAACCAATGAAAACCTTGCCTTCACAGAAATTGACCGGCGAGCTGAAAAGCAGACGGAAATAAATTCGCGAGCCTATGTGAAATTGTTTTGGACCAATGAGCACCTTGTCTTCACAGAAATTAGACGCTGTGCCAAGAAGAGTGGAAAGAATTTGCAAGCCTATGCGAAATTCCTTTTGACATAAAATCAGGGGAAAAATTATATTAATTTGAGATGAGTATTTGAAGTCATGCGAAAGGTTTCGTTTCTGTTCACAGCGTCCAGCGTTGAAGTTCTTGCCAGTGTAAAATTACTCGCCAATTATATTATCCAATTCTAACCAAGCAAGTGGCACTTCAAGGAATTTTCTCTCAACAATCCAAGAATTCTAAGTATTTCAAACTATCTCTCTTCGCCTACTTTTGAACATATGCAAACCATATATCCCTTCGGTGAGCAACGAACTCTATTACTTTTGTTTTAAACATTTTGGATATTATTTTGTATCAGATTATTTAAATCTGTTGTATGAACATTTCCTCTTCATGACAATTTGTTAAAACTATAGACTTTAAAGATTTCTTATTTATTTTTCTGAAACGAGTTACTGTCACAACTTCAAGTGTATAAATTTGTAAATACATTCCTTATCGAGTTTTGTTAAAATTACCCGTGTGTTTCCACGTCATTAATCTCCTTGGTGTGGGTAAATCAACTGTTCATTATAACCTCTAAGTCCCATGTCACTATAACCCCCTGCGTGTTAGTGGCTCTGTTGCCTTGCTTGGGGTGAAATGATTTATAAAAAAAAAATGAAGTGAGGTTATATAGATATGAAGAGAGTGAAATAGATATGTACAGAATGAGTGAGATAGATATGAACAGAGATAGATAGATATGAACAGACTGAGATAGATATGAACAGAGAGAGAGATAGGTATGAACGGCCTGAGATAGATATGAACAGAGAGAGAAAGAGAGAGAGAGAGAGGTATGAGCAGCCTGAGATAGATATGAATAGAGAGAGAGAGAGATAGGTATGAACGGCCTGAGATAGATATGAACAGAGAGAGAGAGAGAGAGATAGATATGAACAGAGAGAGAGAGAGAGAGAGAGAGAGAGAGAGATAGATAGATATGAACAGAGTTATCTTCCTGTTCTTTTATTGTTCTCATATTCTTTTCTCAGATTATTTCACACTCAGTAACCACTTGCATCTTAGTGGCTTTATTGCCTTGCTTGGAGTGAAATGACTAAAAAAATGTATGTGTCGGAGAATGATATATAAATTTCTTTATATCACAACAATTTAAAGACAGTGGAAAAATTCTGTGTAACACGTTTCATCCTTTTTTTTGTTTTTGTTTTTTGATGGAATTATATATGTTTGACTTCAGGAACGACGGTAGGAGGCACTCAGGAGTAATGGATAGCGGCTTGGATTGAGGAATCGGAGAGCCGAGTTCGAATTCCAGCCGAATCCATTACATTCACTTACGTGCTAATACTGTGAATCCTCTTCTTCTCCCTCCAGCTATGGGTAAATAGCAGGACGGACTGGGTTCTATAGCCTTGGATGGCAACTGGTCTAGGAGAAGGGCAACTCTGAATTCAAACCCGGAGTGGAGCCCCTAAGGCGGATGGACGGCACTTTGTGCTACCTTCTGGCACCTCCTGCAGCCGCGCTGGTACCAAACTGTGTTGGTTTATCCTCTCCTTTGGACTCTGCTAGCAAGGCCGAGACGGGGAACTAGACGTCTGGGCATCCCTAGTTCTCTTCAAAACCTTCGGAGGGTCGTTTGGGGACCTTGTGGCACGTAGTGCATCAGGTCTCTGTAATCGGCCCTTCCTGCACGAAACCTTCACCACTATAATCAAATCTCATGTGCTATGCAGTTTGTGGACAGCTTGTGAATTCGAAAATTCCCATGAAGCACCAATATTGGAGCCGGTTCAACCCACCCCGGGTGGATGCCGTTACAAGAATACAAGAGAAAAGGGTAGGAGGCACGGTGGTTTAATGGATAGCGGCTCGGATTCCAGTCGAATCCATTAAATTCACTTACGTCCTTGGGAAAGGTATGAATCCTCTTCTTCTCCCCCATGCTATTGGAAAATAACCCTGGGTGGCAACTGGGCTACCGCAGAAAGAAATGGCAACCTACTGAAGAAAAAAATCTGCCTCGTCAGTCGAAAGATATATGATCGCCTAAGCTTGTATCACGCATAGCACATAACTGACTGGATCTACAATGGTAGTGAAGGAAAGCGAGAAGAAAGGATTAAACATCAACTGCAAGAAGAGAGAACGCCATTATAGCACGTCGCTGTACCAAAGTAATCTTAAATAATATAATAAATATACCAAACTTCTGTGATGAGCCATATATAGAGAGAATGTTATTTCGCCCATCAAGTGGAAAGCAGACTTTATCAACGTGTTTGTGGCTGTAAGGCTTTACTACTTGGTACTGGCAAAAGATGTTTGTCGGCTGGTCCTGTTGCGTTGGCCTTTAAAGGGAGGAAAGAGAAGATGATTGCGCAAAGATAGAAATAAAAAATCTCGCGATCATTCTAGAAATACGAATCGGTAGTTTCTAATGTTTTACAACTGCTTTCTGTTAAATAAACACAGATAAACAAGAAATGCGAGTGATCTAAAATATGGCTGCCCCAGAGCTTTCTTACCTTTTATTACGAAAGAGCTCGCTGACCTTCTCTTTACCGACTTCTCTGCTGATAACGGATGACAAAGTCAGATTGCTTTCAGAGAGAGAAAGAAAACATGGATGATTTTTTAGTGTTTTTATGTTTAAATTCTTAACGGTTTCATCATCATCATCATCATCATCTATCCTATGACGGGATGTGGTCATTGTGTCGCTACGCAACTGAGCACCTGACTAGTACACTCAACCAGAGAAGTACTCCTTCATGTGTAGCAGGGTATTTAAAATTTGCGCGTTGGGTATAGTGCAGATCGATGCGTGTTCACATGTAAATAATTAAAAAAAGGAATATAAAAATCTTTGGTTTCTACTACAGACCGTCTTTTTTTTCATATATATAAACTGTATTGGAAGAAAGTTCTCAATTTTTCTTGGGCATTTCCATTTTCTTTTTGGTCCAGGAGTTATGTAAAGACAAGCACCATTATAATGGTTGCGCTCAAGTCAGCCTTGCGCAGAGTTGGAACGACCAAATAAAGCTTTGCACTTACTACATCTTTGGGAGGATTTTAGCATTGTTAAAGTATATCCGGTTTCTTTTTATTGGTTCAGAAATTATTGAAGTAAAGATAAGCATGTTTATAATGGTCATGCTCAAGTGAGCCTTGCGCAGAGTTGGAACGGCTAAAGAAAATTTTGTACATACTACATTGTTGGAGGATTTCAACATGGTTATGTCCGTTTTCTTTTTATTCGTTCAGAAGTTAGTGTAAGTAAGAATAACATTGTTAACATTGCGCTGTTGGAAAACAACAAGAGGTTGATTTACTTTGTAATGGAGGTTTTGGAAGACAAGAAACCAAATAGGGTAATAAAATTTCCGTTTTTTTTTTTTACTCTTAGCATAATGGGAATATGTATTTTTTTTTTTTACTAATCCTTACCGTTATTTTATTTATTGGTTTTATTTCATTTTCCAACAGTTGTGTGTCTTGGGGGAGTAGACTTTGTGGATCTCCAGCCAATGGGCCACAATTTGAAGATTTTCGTAGTCGTTGATTCATTCGAAGGAACTCTCTGTTCTGGCCGCTGTCTTCTAGGAAGCCCTCCGCCGTGCGATGACGAGTTATCACAGCACAGGCTGGCTACAGACCAATGGGGCTTAGTTTACTCCATTGTGTTAGATGGCCCATGACCCTACAAGAAGATCCATCCATTTCGATGTCGGACGACCGTTAGTCGGATATCAAAGTATCAGCCACCCCAACTAGATTTATCTGCGTCATTACCTATTATATCAAGTTCCTAACGTTTTGTACGTTGAACCTATTTTAGGACCGACTTAGTACAAATACAAGCCTCCACTGTGAAACCACTACACTTGTCGAGCCACCCTGTCACCAGAAAATCTGAAAGGGCAACTAGGCGGCGGATAGTACGAGGTTATATGGTACAATTAGCATTCGTAGAGTGTCCTGATATGATAATAATAATATAATAATAATATATAATATTTACATAAAAAACATGACTAGACAACAAAGATTGAAATGGATAAGGAAAAGAAGGAGAAAATACAGGAAAAGGATTAGTAGTACGCATAGGTAAGAATAAAACAGTTCTATGTATATTAAAGTAATCTGTCTACCACGTAGAACATTAGACATTGTTACAAAACATGAAAAAGAAAAGGTTAACAACATTGAAAACGGAACCAGCAACACGGGTTCAAAGCCTTCTTTCCCCTTTGGAATTGAGAAGAATCCATCTACCCACAGCTATGGCGATTTTCTAAGCTTATCCTAAATGCGGCACAAGGCAGTGAGGAACACAATTGATCTACTCGGTCGTAATTGATCTAACGAGACAAGCTTGTTAACCATTACTTCATGTCGAAGTGTCTAAATGATTTTCTAAGCATAGCTTATGGGGCACCCAGTGAGGATCGAACACACTATTCAGTTGTAATTGATCTAGTGAGACAAGCTTGCTAATCATTACGCCACGTCGAATTGCCCAAATGATTTTCTAAGCGTTGATTAGATGTGGCACAAGGCCGGATGTATGGGGCACTCAGTGAGGATCGAACTCGCTATTCAGTCATAATTGATCTAGGACGACAAACTTGCTACCCCTACCAACACCTATGGTTTAAATAGCAAAAGGCATTGAATGACTTGTCATAATTTATACGATTTTTAATTACTTGGCTTACGGCCATATCACGTTGAAATACCGGTTCCCGTACGATCACCGAAGTTAAGCAACATTGACCTTTATCAGTACTCAGATAGGTGACTACTTGGAAATAGCAGGTTCTGTAAGCTTGGGTGTGTGGGTGGTGCAATAGATAACTGCTCGAATTAAGAAATCAAAGAGCGGAGTTCGAATTCCAGTTGGGTTTGTTGATATTCACTTACGCGTAAATACCCTTGTGAGAGGTATGAATCCACCACTTCCCCATCTATGGGCTAAATAGTAGGACGTGTATCTGAAAATTCTAAATATTTGCAAAATATTGTTAATATTAACTCGCAAAAAAATACAATGCAAATATATGTTTCTTAGCTTTAAATAACGAACAAATGACTGATAAGCTGTTAAAAACAAATCAATTTTGGTTACTCGTCGCTGTGAAGTCAAAGAAACCTGTCTTTATTTTTATCTTCTGTCTAAATATCTAAAAGAAAACAGGCCTATAATTGGAGCTTAATTTATTCATTTTAAAATAACCTCGATAAATATAATAAATATGATAAAACACATGAAAACATATGATAAAACACATGATAAAACATATGAAAACATGATAAAATGTATGATAAAACATGAAAACATATGATGAAACATATGATAAATATAATAAAACATAAAACATGATAAAACACATAATACATATGATAAAGCATGAAAACATATAATAAACATATAAAAAATGAAAACGTGATAAAACATAATAAATCATAAAACATGATAAAACACATAAAACATGAAATCGTGATAAAACATGATAAAGCATAAAACATGATAAAGCATAAGACATGATAAAACATTATAAAACATATGATAAAACATGAAAACATATAAAAATATATGATAAAACATATGATTGCGTGTCTACTTGCGTGCTTGTGTGGTGCGTGCTTCCGGCGTATAATGATTTCAGTTAATCTGATTTTAAAAAAAATATTTTAAGTGAATAGCATTTAAAAATACTTACTGTTTATACAATAAGTATTTTTACTTTAAATTTCTTCAAACAGACAATTTTTTAAATTAAAATATTTTAAGTTAAAGACAGACACAAAGAGATGCCACTTTGCTGTTTCGTCCAGTTGTTTGTAGAGTAATTATTTGTATTTCTGCTTTCTTTAACCAAACAATATTTTAAATATTTAAAAATATTTTTTGGCATATTTAAAAAGATATTTTTTAAGTTAATCTGATTTTAAAATATTTTAAGTGCATAAGAATTAAAACTACGAATTGTTTATACAGAAAGTATTTTTATTTCAACTTTCTTGAAACATGCAATTTTTTTAATGTTGAAATTAACTTCAATGTTTTATAACTTGAACTGTCAGTGAGCTAACAGAACGCGGATAGTCTAGTATCATATATAAATAAGATCAGAGCAATAATGGAGTATTGCTGCCATACGTTGGTTGGAGTTGTCCTGTACTCACTTGTTTGTTTAGGTAGCGTTCAAATGCGTCTATGCGGATTTGTAAGTAATAATTTTCCAGCCTAGAACCCAACAGACGAAACGTCGCAAGCCTCGCGCTGGTATATCTTTATTTCTATGACATGTGCTCTGACGAAACGTCACAAGCCTCTCGATGGTATACCTCTGTTTCCATGGCATGTGTTCTGACGAGCTACATTCCTTAGTCTCAACAACCCTGAACTTTATAAATGGGACCCATCATGACACGCACATAAAGTGAAATCATCCCCATTTCCTTCGTATTCCATTAGTAAGGAGGAAGTTTCACTCGGACAGATTGTTCGCAATGCTGCTTTGTGGAACGGACACTCGATAGGATTTCTTGATCATTACAATCTTGACCGCTTCAAGTCTAGAATTAGCCATTATCTTTCCTGCATAGCTACCAAGAACTTTACTTTTCGCCCTTTCTTATACTCATACAACACCACACAGTAATCTTCTACCTCAATGGTTCCCAACAAGGGGCGCATGCCCAACCGGTGAGGCATGGTAATATTTTGGTGGGGCATGCGCAGGATGTGCACCTTTCGACTTGCTATACCAATGTGAGCTCAAATTTCATTTTGTATAATTATTTTATGATTAAAAGGATCAAAGTATATTACAAAATAAACTTTCATTTAAATAGTTTATATTTCCACCTTTCAGTTCTCTATTACATGTTTTAAAACTATATATATTTAACTGTCTTTTTGTTTGTTTTTTAATTTTTCTCTTTCATGGAACCCATTTTCTTTAGAGGCTTGTTTAGAGATCAAATTAATGGCCTTTTAAGCTTCTTTTCCGTGAATTGCAGTAAAATTTTGAATATGTAAGAATTAAATATTACAGGGGGCACCAGAATTTTAGAAATACCAAAGCATGGGCCAAAATCGGTTGAGAACCACTGCTCTACTTTGAGTGATTCTTGAGCCTTGTATTGAATGATCATCAGTATTAAAAATACTGGAGACTGGCCTGCTGTAAATTTTATTTCTCAGAAATTTCACAAATGCTGAAACCTGGTTTGATCGTACAAATAAACATACAGATTTGATTGTTTTATTTAAGAAAACAGATTCCAGGTGTCTTAATATAAATTTGAAATCGAATGTTTTCCGAATTTACAAATAACAGGTGGTCCACAGATTAATACATACAAATTAAATTACTTAAACATACATCCATATACTTTTATGTCTAAATGATTTTATTTTTAAGGTCTTAAAAACATGTAGAGAGTCGGTAAAAGATTAAATAAGTGTGTATGGGGGTTTTCGGTTGCTTCTAAAAAAAAAACCCCATCTCTTTGGCACCTTTTATTAGTTATTTTTTACTAACCGTCGAGTTTTCTTTTAATTATCTACTATCTATATTTCTCATGTTGTCTGTCAGTGTGTCTGTCGTGGGCGTTGTTACCTTGCCCAGGTCGCATTTCTCACCCGATTTCGATGCGGTTTTCAACACAAGTTTGCAAATGGCTGCCGTAAGGACATGACGGAGACCGATTTTTGAGTTCGGAATCAGGTTCCGAAAAAATCGATAATCGAAAAAAATCGATAATCGAAAAAATCGATAATCGAAAAAATCGATAATCGAAAAAATTCTGCTTACAGAAGGAATGATCGCATTTCAACCAAATTTGACACCCTCTTAGAGTCTACCATTAGAAGTGTTGTCCAGAAGTTTCATGACCACGGGCCTCTAAACAGCGCGGAAAATCGATAAAACCCAAAAATCGATACGCCCAGATTGCGTCTGAACCGCATGTCGGTTTTTAGCTAAAACCGAGCGGATTTATGAAGAGGCCATTGGGAATCATCATGTGAAGTTTCAACTCTGAGCACCCCCCCCCAAACAGAGTGCAAATCGACAATCGGTCAACCCTTAAAAATGTTTTTTCCGGTTTTTTAAAGCTGATCGTATTGTGTTTATTTTGTTTAGTTCTTTTTTCGTAACAGATTTAATGTTTACTATAGAGCTTAGAAAAAGTTGGCAATGTGATATAGGCAAGAAGTAAGGCATGTAGCAACATCAGCACGGCAAAGGGCACTCCTCTAAAGACAAGGAAGGGAAAAAATATTTTAAGTCAAGTGATAGCGATTGCTGTATTAGTCGTACTATTTTTGAATCAAGCACGGGCAACGCCTGGCTATGCTGCTAGTTTTAAACACTTCTCAACTCTTGTTCCCTGTTTAGGATCAGGTTTCCGGTTCCTTCTAAAATCGTTTCGTTCTCTTTCACTTCAAGAAGTCCCTTGCGTCTTAGTGGCATTATCACCTTGCTTAGGATGAATTAAAAAATAGGGTTTGAACTAGAGTTAAGTATTAGGTATATTTTAAAGCTAGTTTTGTAAGTAAGGTTTATTTATTACTAATGTTCACGCGATACAAGGCCTAAGAGCCACTCGAGGTAGATGGTTAAGTTGTATTAGTGTAAGAAATGGTAAGATAACAGGAAAGCTAGCTAATTCTAGACTTGAAGAGGTTAATTTGCGAATAAAATTTCATAGTTCAGACAGAGACGTTAGGAGCATAGAGTTGAAGTAGACTTCAGAAGGGACAGGAAACCCAATCCAACAGGAAACAAAGTATGAACCTTTATTCCTGTACAAAAGGGCGAGGAGGTGTATGGACCGGATCACAAGTAAACCTATAGACTCCTATTGGGAGAAGGAAAAAAAATGACCAAGTAAAATTTCAGATTTTAAGCGGAAACATCAGAAGAACAGAGTTGAAGGAACCGGAAACCCAATCCTAAACAGAAAACAAGGGATAAACCTCTACTCCTGCTAAAAAAAAAGGAGAGGAGCATGAACCGGACGACAGACAAGCCTATCTAGTCTTATTAGGGGAGGGGAAAATAATTAATTAGTGAAGAACAATTCAGAGTTTAGGCGAAGACGATAGAGTTGAAGTAGACCGGAAGCCCAATCCTAAATAGGGAACAAGGGTCATATATTGGAAATAGCAGTAAGCAGTAGTTAGTTCATAACACAAATACTAAGAACCAACATTTCACAGCGTATTGAAAAATGTATATATATATATGTCGTCAGCAGGCAATGTAAGATTCATAATGACATATGAATACTTCCACAGCAGCAGAAGTATAAAATACTAAAAAATAAAATCAGTTTTACAATTGTATCAATTACAATATTGGGGTAATTTGCAGTGTAATCCCCGTGCTCAGTTTTTAATAAAAATCTCCCGAATAGTTACATTTAAGTGTAAATTTACATGCCTAATTCGAAAATAACAAAGAAATTTTGCTAAAATCTACCGTTTTGGAATTATCGACAATAAAAGTTCGGACTCATTCGCGTCGCGGCTACAGCACGGTGGCTATTGCAGGTGTTGTTTACTTACGTTTGCCTCAGAGCAGCCATTCGCAGAAACTTCGCTTGTCTTGATTAATACGCACACAATGCGCAATATTTAAAAAGTGCATGATTATTTACAAAATAAAAAAATTGCTAGAAAGAAAATAATAATAACAAGAATAAATTTAAGGTTCAAATTTCTTTTTATTAAATTTTGGAGTTTTACAAAGCATGATTATTAAGTATCTTGAAATAAAATTTCATTACGATTACAATTTGTTTTTTTATTTT